TTACTCATTCACACAAATAAAACACAAAATTCCTATTGCTAATGGTGGGACAGCTGTGACAGCAAAGGAATGTACATTATTATTACCATTAGACAATTCACTTCAGAAAGCTTTGTTTCATAACTGACTGTTTCATTGTTGAACGATCACAAGTTGCACTGTGTCCAAAGAGGGGACAAAGCTAATGCAAAATATGGGTCACTGTGAACCAGAGCTACATAATTCTATCTGTGTAAAGGCTGTAAAGGAGGTAGGTACAAAAAATGTTCTTACAGAGAATGTATTAGCCTTCACTTGACAACGTTTTGGCTTTAAGGTTAGATTTTTATTTACTTTAACTCCTTTTTCTCCAGGTTCCATGGAATACTTTAACCTAAATAAGCCTTTTAAATGCATGTAAACATGTTAGTTTGACCGACAAAGTACTCAACAAGAATGTTTTCAAAATGAATACATTTTAAAGCTAACAATGTTTTTATCTAGTTTCTAAAGCATCATATCATAACGACTAGTTAAGACTTGTTAGTGAGATGACATCATGATGTCATTAGCCATCTCCTTTCTTACTGTACATGTGAAACACTTATAACTGCAGCAGGGAAGTTGTACACTTTTTAGCCTGCTAACTTGCTAAAGCTAATCTGTTTTAACCCTGTAAAGCCCAAACCATAAAATAATTGACATAAAATTCTAATTCTTTGAACTTGGACCCTTTATTGGTCCCTCTGAACAAACAAACAAAAAAATTCAAATATCATTTATCATATACATCGGGTAATGGAACTGGCTGGGCTTTAGGCTTGTCCCTTTTTCAGGGGTTTCCACAGCAAATCATTGTTTTCCATTTCACCCTGTTCTCTGCATCTTCTACTCTGACTTCTATTTGCATGTCCTCCCTTACTCCATATATCTCCTCTTTGTCTCCTACCTGGTAGCTCCATCTCTAACATTCTTCTACCAATATATCCACTGTCCCTCCTTCGCACATTGTCCAAACCATCTCAATCTGGCTTCTCTGGCCTTTTCTCCAAACCTTCCTGTCTGTGTTGTCCCTCTAATGACCTCATTCCTGATCCTGTCCATCCTTATCACTCCTAAAGAGAATCTTAGCATCTTTAACTCTGCCACCTCCAGCCTTCTGCCTATTGCTAGTGTCTCTAAACCATACATCATGGCTGGTCTCACCACTGTCCTGTAAACCTTTCCCTTCACCCTATATATATATATATATATATATATATATAATACTATGTATTATATACATAGTATGTAATATATATAATATATGTAATATATATTATAATATATTTAATACGATATTAATATAATATAATATAATATATAATATGATACAGCAAGTTACATATCTATTTTTTATTCTAAATGTACTAAATGATGTAATTTAAAAATAAAAAATGCTATATATAATGCATGAAATACAATAAAATGACAATTGACTGATTTAGAGTTACATGACTGTTAGAGTTCAGTGGTTTTCACATTTGGTTGGGTCTGCAGCCGGAAGCTGATAAGACACCAGATGGCTTTCCCGAGCACACAGTCACATAGCCCCACACATTTAAAGAGAATTTCCCCAAATTCTCTTCACACCAACTTTCTAAAACACCTCT